GGAATCAATAACCAATCAAAGCAATCATTGCCTTTATAGTCCCACAAAACACAGCACGGCAATCACACACAACCACACACAACTGCACACATTAGCGACCGTGTTCTGGTGACCTCAGATTACACACTCCATCTCACTTCTAGTTTAACTAGGCTTATTGAGGATTATAGATACATAATGCCATGTGTACTGATTTGGTTTGACACTACTGATAGTCAAAATAAGCCCTGCCTTATTGTGTGTGTGTGTGCATGTGTGTGTACGTGTGTGTGTGTGTGCGCCTTCACTTGTGCTGTACTGACACGCATGAATAAACATGATGTGTAACAAAGCTGAATTGGAATGATGTCTCAGCAGAGAGTCACAGATTGAGTTGGTTCCTCCTGTGTGTGTATGTGGGTGCGCGTGTAGTGTGTGTGTGTTCAAGTGTAAATGTTAGTGTGATCTGTTACACAGCAGATGAGAAGTAGACCCCAGTTCCTGCATCACATCATTCTGCCAGAGGGCTTTTATTCTTGCCCAGAGTCACCCTGTGCCACAGACACATACGTGAACGTAGCCTAGCACTAAAACACACGTACCCACAAATACACAGAACCTGCGTGCATGTAAACAAAACAAAGAGTATTAGTGTGCATCTTACTGTTGGCGTCAGCGTCGTCACTCTTGGGAGGGGTGTGTCCTGTGTAGCCAACGGCAATCCTGACAGTTCGTTCTGGATTTCTTATCTTCTTCAGTCCTACAGAAATAAAGGGGAAAAACAAACCAGGAGACAGAGACATATTTAGTAGATGCTCCAGACGTTTGTTAGGCTGGCAGTCATCATCACACCTTGTTCTTCCTCCTCCCCCTCTAAAGCCTAAAAATAAAACTCCATGTCATATGCATGTAGGCTGATCCATTTTCTCATCCACTAACTTGCATCCATTGTGTCCCCTTGATCGATTGGCCACAGCAGATACACTGCCTCCATGTGTGTGACTAACTTGTACCCTGCTTTAGTTTCTCTTCTCTTCTCTCATCATTTCTCTGTTTCCCTGACCACTGTTGCTATGATACAAAGTAGACCAACCAGTGCAGAGGGAGATGGTCTTCCAGGCTATATGGTGGATATTGTTCTCATGCCCACTGGTGTGCTCTGCTGACTGGCGCCACGCACATCTGCCAGGGCATGAAAAGAGCGGATGGCTGAGTTTGACTCCTGCCCTCGTTGCCGAGATTGATTTGGCTTTTTGTTCAGCGTGGCTCGTAAATTATTACATCCATGCTACGCGTAACAAAACAAAATGTGAGCTGCAAAGGTTTTGTGGTTGCTGTTTGCACATGTATGTGCAGCTACAGTGGCGTATGGTCAGAGGCTGGTTTTATATTCATGTGCTACAACGCCTGATGATCCGCCTGTGGGCCTTCGCTCTCATCTACAGTTCTCGTCTTTTCACGCAATGGGACTCTCAACCCACGGATTTCTCTTTGCCTCTGGCCACACACTGCACGCTTGCCTGCACGTGTGCGTATGCATGTGTGCGTGTCTGGTTTTAAGCGTTGTTCAATTCGAAAATGTGCCTGATGTTGTAGAAAGCGTGTCTGATGTTGTGAGTCAAAACCTACAGTAAAGTTAAGTCTGGGAGTCAGAGTTTGAGTGAATTATTCTTTCTGATAATCAAATCTCCAGAACAACAGGTAATACATCAGGTAATGGAAATGCATCTGTGTGCTGACACACGTGAGAAAGTTGCTAATCACATATGCACCGTTATCCTGCGACAAAACATTACCTTTGTCACTCATTCAACTTTGATGCATTAAACACAATTATGAATGTTTTATTTCTAAATTCTCTCTTCAAATAAAGATAACAAATCTATTCAGAACGAGATTTATAACTTTTATTATTATTATTATTATTATTGATGTTATTGTTATTATTAACATAACAGTCATGAGTATTTCTATTAAGCAAGTTTGTTTTTCAAATAATATTAATAAATATTTTCGTCCAGAAACTCCTAGCCACTTGCAAAAGTTAAATAATAAAAAAGTAAATACAAGCAGATGAACCCACTTTGATACAGTGGTTCATTAAAGAATTATTATGGTATAATTATCTGTTTTTTTTTCCTATATTCTTTTAATAAATTTCTACGTACTCTACCATTAATGGGCCACTGCTGTCGCTGAACAATTCAACCAATGTTGGAAAAGAAGTCCAAAAATTACCCAATAGAGAAATGTTGCTCAGCATCCCTCCCTAGTGGACAGATGCTTAATCTCTCCCTCTAATCTCTGGTTTGACTTTGACAAAGAGATGAAAGAAAAGTCCAATAATGAAACTAATGTCCACAACAATTCTTCAGAGCTCTTTGTCATCTGTTCTATGTCTCATCCACAACAGCGAGTCAGATGCTGTGTTTATCGGAGCGATAAGCTTCTCTAGGCAATTTCACCCTCTGTGACATCAACTCACCGCTTTACAGCAAGAAAATGAAAATGATTACCAAGACTGGAGCAGGACCGGGGAATGTTTATGAACTAATGTCAGACACAGAGTGAAGAATTGAGCCTCAATTAACCCATGATCTGAGCACGAGATAATATTACCATGGTGATTCTGGCCATGCCTTAAATAATTCATGAAGGAATGAATGAATAACAATCTGAATGAAATGGTGGCTGCTGTGACTGTTTGTGTATGTGTGGTAATAATGACTGACCCCAAGAGTTTGGTTGGGGGAGTAAAGGAGAGAGAGAGAGAGAGAAAAAAATGTAAACTACCTTCCTACATGCTATGACCTAAAACTGACACACATACAGTCCTCAGTCTGAATGCAGCTGATTCTCACCTTCAGTGCCTTAGCAACCATATAGGCTCATCACCAAATGATCACACGCGCAGACACACACACACACACACACACACACAGGATTGTTACTAAATACTTACACATACAATACTTGGTGTGATTTTGTTTGGTATCGCGATTTTAAAATCAAAGATTCACGTGTGTGTGTGTTATGCGCCTAATAAAGAGAAAAACCGAGACGCAGATGAACCCGCACACACACACAAACAGACGGAGAAGCGCGTACACATCTGAAAGCATCTAAATTCCTTCAGCGTGAACCACTCTCATCCCGTCTCTCTAATCATCATCATCACCATCGTCTCCATCATCATCATCGTCCCTTCCTTTGGTGCTTCAAAACAGTCACAAACCAGCTTAGAAGGGGGCAAACATTTGGATGTTAACAAACACACACACACACACAAAACTAAAGCTGTCTCACTGACAGACCACCGACGGGACAACTCTCTCCCCCTGCCTCCTGTCATTTATTTGCTGTCGGTGATCCGAGCTTCGCACAGTCGCTGCTGGTTCAGCACCAGCGTTCGTCCGTGTTTTCGGGACGGGGCTGTAGGAGAGGGGAAAGCCCCGCCGCCGCGATGCCACTGTCTCTTCTTCCTCAGCTCTGTTTCCATCCTTCAGTCGCTACGTCTGACTCCCGTACAGCCATACTCTGCCTTCTCTAATAAGTAATAACAATAAAACAACGGTTATTTCTCTCCCTTACCTTCCGGCTTGTCTTCGGCAGCCATTTCCCCTCCACCGTGCGCCTCATCCCTCCTCCTCCTCTTCCTCCTCCTCCTCCTCCTCGACTCGACCTAGTGGTGGTGGTGGAGGTGGTGCTGATGGTGGTGGTGAGGGGAGAGGGGCGAGCCTGGCAGGCGCGTGCACAGAGAGGACAGCTCAAGGAGGGGGGCGGGGCAAAGAGGATGGGGCCCGGGGTGGACGAGCCTGCCAGCTCCTGCGACACGATTGGTCCAAGCGTAGAGGACTGACAGCGGGGATCCGTGATGGCGACTCGTGGAATTCTCTCAAAACCTCCTCTCATCCACCCCGCTCTAATCTTCGCCACGTTCACGCGCATACTTCCCTCTTCTCTTTTTCGCTCTCTCTCTCTACCCACGTCACACGACGACGTCTGTATTTGAGGACACCTTGACAGCCTCATCATCATCATCATCATCAGCATCACAGTGATGCTCACCATCCTCTGCGCCCCCAACCCTGAAAAATACACAAAAAAGTAGGTCTAAACAGTCGACATTACACATGCCCCAAAAACCCATTCTTGTCAGGACACAGTCCTGTTCAGTTTGGACACACTTAGCAGAGACTTCAACAGATTTCATCCATATCCACATTAACGGCAGGATTAACCAGCTCTATGGGGTTGTACAGCGACTCTGAGAATCTGCCTGTTTCACATTTTTCCTTTTCTTTTGCATGTAGACAGGACATTTCTGTAATTCTGGTAATAATGAACCCAAAGAGAAAGGTGTATTCCTTTGTGGACAGTTGAATAGTTCTCATATTTGTCGTTTAAATACCAAAGGTTCTATTACATTAAAAAAAAAAGTCCAGTGTCCTTTGCGTACATTTGCAACATACAGAGGACGACTATAAGTCAACAAAGCCAACATATGGACTTTATATATATAGGTTTTTATGTATATTTTAATTACTTTTGAGAAAAGGGGTGAGGGTATATGCTTTTTTTTAAAAAAAAAACTTTTTAAACTAAAACCGACTTTTAATCCAAACATGAACCATAACCTCTGAAGTGACTAAACATACACAGCATCCACTTAAACACTCATCACATGTAAACCCAGCAAAGCAGAAAGTTAGAAACGCTGCCGTGTAAAAGGTCGCGTCCCGCTATAAATTATAAACACTCCCCTTAAATTTAATGAAGAGAAGAAGCGCCTGAAAGAGGGTTTTTTTAGTCGAGCGTGGGCTGGCAGGAGCTGTCACTCGACGTGGTGCTGAAACTGGCGGTGCTGGAGGGACAGCTCCACACGCGCCTACTCTAACTGGCTGTTCACTCTCACCACAGGCTTTCTTTAGCCGTGTCATTGAAATGATGAGTAAAACATAGGATAAAATCCCTACAATCCTCCCCACCCCCCAACACCGTCACCACTACACCCCCCCAGCCAAAACCGACCTTGTTGTTGCCTTTCTTTTGACTCCATCAGGAAACCACTGAATCCTTGTTTCCCTACGGTAAGTTAACTTTCAAACGATCCCATATCCTCATCGAGAGGCTAATTATAATTCTACAGGATAACACACTAAGTACTTCTTAAGACTGGGCCTAAGCTGGGACCATTATGTTCTTGATTCAAGTCCACACTGTCACTCTGTGCCTCAGGGTAGAAATATCGCCTTTACACCAAAGCCTTACGATTGACAGTGACAAGCCACTCTGCAGACACGCTGCTTTACTGAAAATACGTGATTTAAGTACGTGTCTATCCTCAGCCAGACTCAGTGTTCCCGAGTGGAAAAAGGTATTTTTCAAATTAGTTTAAGTAATGACTCAACAATTAGAATTTTAAACTACATACTGCTATCAATAGTTCTACATTTTAATAGCATTATTGTTATAATAATAATAATAATTATAATAGTTGTAGTAGTAGTCGCATCAAACCCCAAAAGTAAAAACCCACTGAATTGTGCTGTATTTGTTGTGTTATGTTAAGATATTGTATTTTGGTTTTGATTATGCAGCAGACAACACCAATATTGGATTTTCTAATGCTTGCTTGTGTTCATTGTCTTCCTTACTTTGTGTTGTGGTAGTTTCAGCAGCTGCTACAAAGACTATGTGGGTGTTGATATCCAATCTGGCCAGGAGTTGAACAACAGATACATCTAATTGTTTTTCCATCAAGTTTCTCACCGTGTGACTATTTTCCTTTAACTGGAGATGCCCCCACTTCTGGTACAAAGTAAGGTCAAACACATACTGTTGAGAAGTGTTGTCACGGCTATGACAAAAAAGGAATTTAATAATTAAAATGACAATACACTAATGGTGTATTATCTTGCACAACTGCATCAAAGATTGAAGACATGAGATAAGACTAAATTACCAGATAGGTCATCTAAACAACAGCCCCACTGTGGGGCAGCAATCACAAATTGGCAATAAAGTTATGTAACCACTAAATGGCGGACACTTCAGAGGTTCACCATTTCAAACATAGTTTTTAAGTGTGTCATTATAACATCTGATGGGCATTGAATATTACATAGGTTGGATTGGGATGCATTGTGTCCTCATTAGGAAAATGAAAGTGTAATTTTGCATTGAGCTGATATATATATTCAATATGCACAAAAAATGGTAGTGGACATTAAATGTGTGTGCCTATCAGGACTGTGTGCAGTCAAGAACTATGTCTGATTCTGCTGCATCATAAAAATAGGGCAATGTTGACCAGAAACAGTTGAGCAGTTAAGAATGTTAACTATTTAGTTTGTTAACAATTTAAAAAGGAGCATGTGTAAGTTTAAATAATAGGAGACTAAATGTGATCAGTTTCAAAAAGGTTAAAGTCAGATTAACAGAATTAGGTTATTCTGTGACCAAATAAAAGCCCTTTTAGTTGACCTTATATCCTCGTATTTTAAATGTAAAACAAAGTTTTCCGAATAATAGTTACTTTGTTTAAAAAACCAAAAACATTAGTTACCTTCTCGCTTTGCGTTACATGAAAAATAATGTAAATTTGAAAAAGAAAAGAAAAACACTGACAACACATGCAATGTCCGGTCTCTCTCAAGGCTCAAACTTCACCGACAGGGGGCGAGAGAACAGCTAGTATCACACAGCCTTGACCAATGAGCTTCCAGGACACTCGCAGTGTGGGCGGTACCTAAGCCAGCGTCAACATGGCGGCGTCCTTAGACGATGATTTTGAGCTGAACAACCAGGACTATTACTCTCTTCTTAACGTCAGAAAAGAGGTACGAATTTTATTTGCGTTTAATAGATAGATTTGTTTCTAAATAAATCTTGACGTGTTTGACTGCGTTCTTAAGCTTCAATCTAGCGCGTTGCATGATAGAGGTCTTCTCCATCACTCCCACCAACCACAGAGGGTGAGACCTCTGCTTTTCCTTGAAGGGAGTCTCTCTCTTTTTTTTAAAAAAAAAGTCCTTTGCATAAAGACAGGGCGAGCAGTTCACTTAAAAAAGACAGCGGTCTAGTTACGTTGTCAATTCTTTAACAACAAAAAATGCATTTTCATTCATCGCAGGCTGTAAGGAAGCCGGGATCCTGACACATTTGATCGTTCATCACAGGAATGTCAAAGACGAATTATACGAAACAACATTCACAAAGGGGTTCCAGTGACCGTGTATTAAATACAGTGCATGAAGGTGTTCAGTTAAAAATTAACCACAAAATCTTACCACAACACTCCCAGTCAATTAATGGGCAACAGAAAAAAAAGTGTTTTCTTCATCATCACTACTACTAATACTTTTTTTTAGTACTACTCCATACTAATTAGGTGGGGTGTAGTAATGCAACGCAATTGATTGCAGCTGGTATTAAGTGCTCTGCACTTAATACCAGCTGAAATCCATTGGATAAGGAAGGAATAGGGAGGTCCGGTAACAGGAGGAAACTATTGTTGTAAGTCAGAAATGGAAAAATTGTCACCGTTTGTAGTTGGTCTTCCTGTATGAATTCTGTATGTTTTAAACAAAAAATAAATTTGAACTTTGTTAAGCCAACACTTGGGAAATTGTTGTGTTAACAGCATATCTGCTGCTACAGTCTGCCCCATGGAGGCGCCACATACTGTATATGTTTCTGCTGTGATTTGAACCCAGAACTGTCTGAGTGTAAGGCAGATGTGCAAACAGACATAACCACTGCACTATGGAACAACTTCCCAATTATCCTGTGTAGGATGTTTTCAGGTACTATGTACATCATGAACTTCCAGTACTGCAGTTTCTTTCTACAGTCCAAAACATGCAAAACAACTGTATGCTGTTGTGGCCCGATGATGGCTGGGATTAGGATTATAAAATTATAAATATAATAAATTAATAAATGTTTAAATAATATTAAAATTCATATGAGCTGGGCATGTTTAAACTTGTAGCTTTTGAATTTTTGTTTCGACATTGTTGGAGATACAGACAACGGTGCGCTATTACAGAGGCCGACAAAGGGAACATTAGCTGTAATTATCTACTTGTTCAGACAAGTCAGAGGAGCAATTCATTACATCCAATGGGCAGTAGCAGGTTTTTATTAAACAATATTGTTGTACTTGCACAACCAGCTCATGAACCAGAGCATTCAAATCAAGATCATCACACTTTTGCAGGGCGAGCTATCTGCCCTTTGTTTATAAAGAGTAAGTGATGATTAGTATATTCAGGTAACCATGAAGTGACGTTTTTAATGGAGAAAAACATCGACCAATTCTGAGAGTATTCTGTAGTACTGCAGTTGGAAGACTATTTTTAGGGGAATGCATTTATTTACAAAAGCCGGGTCTAAGTGCAATAAAGCAGACACATAGAATTTCCAAGTGCAAGTAGTTATTGGATTTCTTCTTTAGAAATTAGATTGAAAAACTGGAGTGCGTTATGAAAGCGTTTTAGAAGCTATATATATATNNNNTATAAATATATATATATATATATATATATCTATATATATATATATATATATATATATAATCTGAGGTCTATTTATTAGGTTAATCATACTGGAGAGACAGCTGGAATGAGTGCAGTATCAATCATGTGTAATAAGACATTCAAGAGATGATGCACTGATGGTACAGCAAATAATATTAGATGAAAAATTTACTGCAAGTCCAGATCGCTCTTTCTATGTCTGATGCCAGAACATTGAGTATCTAGAGTACTCTAATTGATATCAGTCAGAGTTATGTTGCCTTCAGCATCGGTAGTATAAAATTCCCAGTCAGGCCAACAGAGACAGGTCAGCACTCCTCGCTATCCTTTTAAAAACACATGAATAGAACAGACTAGCAAGTGTGCGTCATTGCTTTATTGATTGTAGAGCAGCTGCTCCTGAAATATCATCCCAGTTGGCAAATGGACAATGGAGCCGCGCAGCGCTGGAGTGTTTTCCCTTGTTTGTGCATGAAAAAGACCAATTCAGGCTCGATACATTTAATGTTTAGCATTACATGCTTTCATGCTAAGATGGTCAAAATTGTAAAACATTTTAAGAACTTTTGATAAAAATAATTCGTAAATAAGGCTACTTAATAGAACATCTCCAAGAACCTGATTAAGAAATTAAGCTGTTAATACTAACCAATTATGAATCAAGTGGAGGCCAGTATTTTCAGCATAAAGCCGGTGGATTTGACCAATATTTGACAGAGCTGCGTTTGGACTGAGGATTTTGACTCAGGATTGATAATCCTCAGTCCACTGTCAAATATGAAAAATTGATGATTTCAACCCGTGGCCTTTTGGTTAAAGGGTTGAGCTTGTTATTAGAGGATTCAGGTTCAAAACCCAACTTGGCAGGTTGTGGTTTGTGGTTTGCTTCTGAGTCATCACTTCTCAGGAATATGTTGATGGGTTAAGTGAGGACAAGTTTCATTGGATGTGTGTTTTTATATGTACTACAACAACATGTGTGAGTAGTCTGTAAAATGCTGAAAATGATATCTGTCAAAGTAGGGATAGAATTTAACATTTACATCTTCTTTATTTGGATTATTTTTATTCTGTTTTTCATTCTACTTCAGTTATTTTTCTATTCAGGTTATATTGTTGTTTTTTTCTATTTCTCAAATATTTACTTTTTTTCCACTTTTACCTTTTACTTTCTTTTTGTAATGGTTTTTTAAGGGCAACACTAGCAACTTGATGCTTTAATGCAGCACCGTTGTGTTCTCAGCACTAGTCTTGGTCTACTACACGTTAATTATTCCCCTGCAGTTTTGACAATCAAAAAAGGAATAAGCAATAATTGTTTCCTGCATCACATCTTTGACAGTAGGTCTGTCTGTTTACGCAGGCCCAAACAGTTTAAAATCCTTTTGCACAACAGTCAATCAATTAATCACAGAAGCACACGCCACATTAATCAGTAATGAAAATAATTGCTGGGTGCACTCCTCCTGGAGTGAAAGCTGTCCCATCTGTAATTACAGGCTACATTAGAGGAGCTCAAGGCGTCGTATCGGAGGCTGTGCATGCTCTATCACCCTGACAAACATCGAAATCCAGAGCTGAAAGGACAAGCTGAGAAGCTTTTCAACCAGGTGCGACAGGCGTATGAAGGTAACTGAAACCTGAATCACTCACTTCAACATTTAAACTATGATTTAGAGAAAAGAAAAACACTTCCTTCTCTCACCCTAAGTGCTCACTGACGCTCACTCCAGAGCCATCTACGACATCTTTGGGAAGAAAGGGCTGGAGGTAGAAGGCTGGGAGGTGTGTGTGTGTAGTATGTCTTTTTGTTTGTCACATTAAGTGGTTTTTGTCACTACATTATACTCACAGTGGTAATGAATTTTCATCAACAATTATATGGCGGTAATGATTCTGTGTAGGTGGTGGAGAGAAAGAGGACTCCGGCAGAAATCCGGGAGGAGTATGAGAGGCTGCAGAGAGAGAGAGAAGAGAGGAGACTGCACCAGAGAACAAACCCAAAGGTTTGTCAGTCAAAACTGTATCATTATCCCTTGTCAACAGTGCTGCACTTGTTTGGCTCCTACTTTTGTGCTAGTATAAGTCAAAACACATTTCAAACTTCATTTCAGTATTCTTTAAAATCAACTGGAATCTTGTATTACATACTTATAACAGAATCCCACAGTACTCATGTTTCTACCACAGGCATACATTAAAGCCACACTAATGTCTGCATTTAATAACAACTAAGACCTATTTGTGGGCATGCATTTTGAGATGTCTGCTATCATTTAGTTTCCTTCTTTATTCAGTTTATTTTATTTTATCTCTCTCTTACACGCTTACATTTTCAGGGTATTATCAGTGTTGGTGTGGATGCAACCGACCTCTTCGACCGCTACGATGAAGACTTTGAGGAGATGCCAGGAGGAGGTTTTCCTCATATTGAAATCAGTAAAATGCACATCTCTCAGTCTATCGAGGTGCAACTCAGTCAAAAATCTTCTTTCTAATAACTCACTGTACATACCTTGACTTTGCTGAATGTTATGTCGCCTTTTATTATCTGACAAGTGTTTTTATGTTCTCTTTCTTTAGGCTCCTTTGACAAACTCTGACACAGCTGTGCTCTCCGGTTCACTCTCTACACAAAATGGAGAAGGACAAGGCAGCATTAACGTCACTTTACGAAGGGTTACCTCAGCCCGGGGCTGGGGAGAGGTACTCAAGAAGACTTAAACCTTATCTGCTAATACTCTGGTTTTTGAATGTATAAATATTTATACTACAGAGAGTACAGCGCCCCTCTAGATGTTACGTGGTGAATGAGTGTTGAAAACACGGTACTGCTACTAATGTTTGTATATTAGATAAAATATCCTAGAATCTACACTGAGTGAGCACGGACATGCTCTTGAGGCAGAGAGCTAGTGAACACCAGAGAGAGAGAGAGAGAGAGAGAGATACTTCTCATTCTATGGAGGCAGACAAATAGAAATGCAGAGAAACTTTGCCTCATCAGTTGTGGTGACATTTTACTGAAATTAATGATGCCTTATTGAGGAACATTTCAAATGTGTGCGTTTATGCATGACTGCAGGTGGAGTTTGAGGCAGGAGACATACTGGGACCACTCTTTGGAGTAAAGGTGTTTCGAAACATCACTTCAAGATGGTAAGGCCCATGTTTTTGTATAATTTTCTTAATTCTGATCTCCTCTATCATCTCTATCATTGTTCCCCTGTACAGTTTTGTCACTGGACAGTGCGGTGTGCAGTTCTCCCCTCGAGGTGTGCGTCGCACTTGCTCTTTGATAGCAGCACGGCAGCTGGACCAGCACACCATGGGCTACCTCAAGTGGCGCGGGGGTCGTAGCAGTGCCATGACCACCAGTCTGGTCCGAGACACTGACAGCAGCCACTTTTCTCTATCTTTACAGGTACTCACATTAAGTACACATACTCACATACACATCTCTACTTTTTATCTGAATGGTAAACAAAGGTACATCTAAAAACGCTGATTTTTTAAAATCAAAAATTATTAAATTGTTTTTTTTTTCTCATGAACTCCAGCTGGGTGTCCCTAACTCTTACCTAATGATGAGTTATGCCTTCAAGTTCCAGGATGAAGACAAGACCAGAGTGAGAGGCTCTGTAAAGTATGTTTCTATTGAATTTTCAGATCAAGTTCAAAGTGAGAATGTTTTGTAATGTTTTGTTTGGCCTGGTATTATAGACTCCTTAAGACACCCCAGAATTAATAATATCAATGAAAGTAAAAACCAAAACTGGTTACCTGTTATTATCAGAAGTGTTCTACATTTTTTTGAAATCTGAAATGAATGTTATAACTATGATCTAAAAAATCTAGACATCATTCAAGGCTGCAGTAGGGAAACATTACTAGTAGCTGCACAGAATCATTATAACAGAAACAAAACATTTACTGTGGTTAAATAATAGGAGAAACATAATTTACTTTAAAAAATGCCATTAGACACACACATTTGAGCCCTAAACATTTTTAATCCAGTTGTAATGACTTTATAAATTACTCACTCCAACTCAGACCGTGTTATTGTCTTCAGTAATTGCTTGACTCCGTCTCTTCTGTTGTCTTCCTCTCGGTCCTGTTTCAGAACAGGCTGGTTTGGCACTGTGATAGAATACGGAGCAGAGAGGAAGATTAGCAGGCACAGTGTCATGTCCGCCACCGTCAGTGTCGGCGTCCCACAGGGAGTCACCCTCAAGCTCAAGTACTGTCCGACCCAAAATAAGATCTGATGTTCTAACCTGTGATGTTCTAACGCATGTTCATGTTTTCACTGGTGCGTCCATGCAGACTGGAGCGTGCCAGTCAAACCTACCTGTTCCCAGTTCACCTGACAGATCAGCTGTTGCCCAGTGCTGTTTTCTATGCCACTGTTGGACCCCTGCTGGTCTACATGGCTGTCCACAGACTGATCGTCCTCCCATATACACAAGCACAAAAGAAGCAGTGAGTACAGATCTTTCCCCAGCGTATCAGTAGGACATACTGTAGTAGTAGGGAATTTACTTTCCAAAGTTAACAGTGACTTAAAATGTCCTTCTTTTTACCCCCTAATGGAGGAAGACACAGAACTTTTAATCTGTTAGTGTAAAAACTATAGGAGGTTTGTTCATGTCTCTAATGAATCCTTGCAGGGGAATTGTTGACGTCTGTTTCCTCTGTATCTGCGTTTTAGAGAACTGGAGCTGCAGAAGAAGAGCTCCGAAGTAGACATTGCCAAGAAGAAGCAGGAGGCAGAGTCTGCTGTGAGCACTCAGACACTCACACGCAAAAACACAATTATTCATTGTTGTGTGCGTGCGTGGAAGCGCGTCTGTGTTTGTGGATCGTTGTGTGCTCTCCTCAGCTTGTCTGAAAACCTCTCTCCTCCTTGTATTCTATTTCATCCATCCTCCTCCTCCTCCATCACCTCCCCCTCTTTCTCCCTTGGCTCCTCTGTAGGTTGTGCTGATGCAGGAGTCTGTGAGGAGAATCATGGAAGCTGAAGAATCCAAGATGGGTGAGAGAAGACACACACACACACACACCTGCACGCACACATTACACCAGAGTAAGAGACTAAGACTGTTTTTCATTTACAGTCAGTAAGAACTTGGTAAAAATCCAAATATGTAATTTAAACACATTTCTCTTAGTCACTGTCACTGTATTATAAATTATATGGTAGCTGGCAGTTCTTTTAGGTTTGACTGCCATCATCTCCATCATCCCAGTAGCTGGCAGTTCTTTTAGGCTTGGTTTGACTGCCATCATCTCCATCATCCACTCTGAAGTGTTTACATGGGTCATCGTTGCCCTGCACAGAGCACCAGAGTACACACTCAAATAAATGAAAACTGTGGCATCAGCCTGATGGATTTCATGTTACAGTCATTTTAAAAGAACATGTGAATATTTAATGACACACCTGGTACTTTTAAAATACAAATTAGAGCAGTACTTTTGTTTTGTGTTTTCACTGCTGTAGAGGGAGTTTCCACATATATTAATTTCAATGCACCCTAGAAAAGCTGAAAGGATGTAAAAAAAAAAAGAAAATATTTTTCTTGCCTTCAGGCAATAAGAAAATTTCAACATGACACTTCTTAACTAACTTTTCTCAGTAGACAGACAGAAAATACTAGAAACTGAAAAATACCAAGGTCAAAACAAAAAGAGTTACTAAATATTAAACCAAAAATTGCCTCAACATTATCATGCTCTGAGCATTTTAATACAAGTTGAAGCAGACCCTGAACAGTCAAGTTTGCAAAGACATCAGAAAGGGTTTAAATGTCAATGATTGAACAAACATGTCATGAGTTGTTCATCTGTGTCTCACTTACTAGGCCTGATCATTCTGAATGCCTGGTATGGAAAGTTTGTGTCCGACGTAAGTCAGAAGAAGGAGAAAGCAAGAGTGGTCGATGTCACTGTTCCGCTTCAGTGCCTGGTCAAAGACTCCAAGCTCATCCTTACTGAAGCCTCTAAGGTATGTTCAGCAGTCACTTCAACAGCAACCAATCACGGTCAACAATCAAACTCAGTGCATTGAGGCATAAAAACAGTCAAGAAAAGTTTCTCTCAAGTTAAAAGTGAGATTCAGAAAGAAAGAAAAGTGATTTAGGTCACTCTAAAATTGGTGTAGATGTTGGTGCCAGACTGGCTGGGCTGAGTATTTCAAAAACTGCTGATGTGCTGGAATTTTCACACACAACAGTCTCTGGGGTTTACAGAGATTTTTCTGAAAAAGAAAAAATATCCAGTGAGCAGCAGGTTCTCTGGGCAACAATGTCTTGCTGATGCCAGATGCTAGAGCAGAAAGATTACAGGGCTCGTACAGGTGCTTAAAATCATTCAAAGTACTTCATAAAAAACATTCTGGTTAGATTTTGTGTTCCTGGGAATTGGAGATTTCTCTTTTTTAACAAAACTGGCAGTCTGGTTGAAATTTTTTTTTGGTGAGGAACATCCAGTATATCAAAGCTGCTCAGAAGTGCTTCACATGCCCAAAGGTCTACCAGAACTTGTCATCACTGGCTTCAGATGATTTTTAAAAAAACCAACAGGAACTCCAAAAAACAAACTATTAAAACAAAGGTTTTAATCAATGCCTCAGCGTAGTGTAACAGCAGCAGGATTTCCTCTCAGCTACTTCTGTTGATATAGTGTGCCCATAAAGTAGTCAGCAAACTAAAGTGTTCACATTAGCAGTTTTTGTGTTTTTGCTTATCTCCACATTTGCATAACAATGGTTTCTCTGTGTGCAGGGTGGGTTGCCCGGCTTCTATGACCCCTGTGTAGGAGAGGAAAAGAGTCTTAAAATACTCTACCAGTTCAGAGGTGTGATGCACCAGGTCATCTCTGCAGACACTGAGCCTCTACGGATACCTAAGCAATGTGAGTGCATAATCACACACACCGAGTCCGAATGGCCCAGTAGTGGAAGTTTCTGATATGGACAACGTGGGAAATTATGTCCCAGGGTCTGACTCCTCATCTGGGGCCTCATTTATCATGTGCACATAATTGTGCGTAATGATTGCATATGAACATTCTCAGGCAAAGTTTGGAATTTATCAACTTGTGCTTGAAACATGTAAACTCAAGCACAGCTCTGACCATAAGTACACACAAATCTAGTGGTAAAACTGTGCAACTACAAACAGAACCCATTAAAGAAGACACCTAAACTTCACATGTTCCCTGTTTCTTACTACTAATTTCTGCAGTTCCAGTTCTTTAAAACTACAATTGATCGGGGGGAGGGGAGAGGTTCAGAAAGTGTCTTTGAAAGTAAAAAATACAACAATATACAAGCATCTGTATAGCTGTACAATTATCTACAGTGTAATAGCAGTAATGACATATAGAACAAACAGTACCAACAGTACCAGAATGCAACAATAGCGACAATGACTGGCAGTTGTACACACGTGTAGCCTCATGTGTCTTGTACATATGAGTTCGCTAGAGAAAAAAACAAAGGCAAAATAAAATGAATCAATGCCATTAATATTTGCATGTTAATTGAAAAAAAGAAGAAGAATACAGTGCAGTAGGATATCAATAAGGTTTTGTGAACATGTATTTCCTATTTCTTATTGTTATCTTTCTCTTTTCAGCACACAGACTAGAGGCTGGGTCTTAGGAGTTCACCTCTGTTAAGGAACCTCTGGGCAAGTGCACAGAAGACACTTTGTGTGAAGAATACCATAATCAGAGAAGAAGAAAAAAAATCTCAATTCTCTTCTACGGCTCTTTTTTATCCTAGTATGGGGGGGGGGGGGGGGGGATCAACTTCTCCTGCTGCTCACCCTCCAAAGAATTATAACGCTGGTGCCGTAGAACAGAGG